TGCCTCCTCCAAAACCACATGTCAACTTAGAGTCGAGGATGACCGATCACTATTCTGAATCAACAAGGTATTTTTAGATACTGAATCTCAAACCATTTTATACCTATTGTTTTTGAGATTACTTCTTAGGTGTGTTGACTTCGACTAATAAAAATTTGAATGCAGTGTTGTTTTCTTGCTGTTTTAATTAAAGTCAAAGGCCCTCTACCCTTGTAATTCATCCTCTGTGAGAGGTGGAGGAGAGGGAGAGGGAGGAAGGGCACTCCGGAAATCATCCGAGTGATAGCAAATGCCAACAGCAATCACACACTGGCTGTATTAATATTTTTTTTAATATGCTGATACCATTTTTAGTCTCGAAATCCCTGGTGTGATAAAGACCCAAGATGCCGCGAGATTTCATGCACCTAACATCACTCGTTACAAATGAAGAATTTTGATGAAAAAAGCATTCACCAACTCGCTTTTGCAAAATACTGCTTTCTAATTTCTCAAAAACGTATTTTCTGAAAAGAATCACCAATTTTTTCACTTAGAAAATTTCATTAAAATCTCTATAAAAACCTGGAAACTTTTTTACTTGGTTTTGTGGAAACAGCTTTTCAAATTAGCCTCTGTATTATTAAATTTGTCTTATTACTACTCGGATAATTAGTGTGAATATTCTATATTAGTGATCCCGTATGCCGACAGCAATAACTATGCTTATTTTGTTTATTTATTACCAGAAATGCGTGAAATAATCATGTGTCTCTAGGGGAGATGAGCAGATAACAACACGAGCACATTCAGCACTTCCGGCAGCTGTACGACCAAGTTCAGTCACTCACACGGATGAGCGCGCAGCACCACGAGCTATCGAACCTGATCTGGTTGCCAAAGACAGGTAATTTTCATATTTTTACACACACATTTTGATAAAAACCTTTGCAACTGAATAACTGTTAAAAGTGCCTCCGAATTTGCCCTCTATAAAAAATACCGATAATCGGAAGTGGTCCGAGTGGTCGCATTTGGCAGTGGCAACTACTCGCTGGAAAGACTGCCGATAACTCACTCATTCGGGGATCACGATTAGTGAACAAAAAATTTCTCAAGAAGGCAGACTTAAAAGCCGTTCGCGCATAAAAGAGTGCCAAAGAGAAAGTTTTTTTGACTATTTGCTTATTCTCTTTATTTTTTTTTTCTTTTTGGTTGCTAGCGATTGGAGATGCAATCAGTTTAGCAAAATCTCGCGGAGGATTTTGCTCAAATAACTTCACAAGTGTTCTGTCTCTTTGAGTCTTTTTCTGATGCATATTTCACTGTTTTGTGACGACCAAGTGAGTCAGCATCAGTTCCGGCAACACGAAGGTTGTTATCAAGCCTGACAAATCACAAAGTATGTAGCTGATAAGCCGAAACTTTTCTATCTAAATGTTTTCGTTAGTGCATTTTAAAATTCCGATCACTTTGTAGAAAGAGACGCAGTCTGACTTAGTCTTGTTTAGACAGAATAGCATGAGCGTGTAAAATTAGAATTTTCGGTTAGTGAATTTTAACTAGAAACGGGTAAGCGGATGGCAGAAATCAAACTGTTATATAGTCAGGAATGCTCCGAAGTATGTAAGGTATATGTGCAAGGAGGGTGTTAAGGGGAATCTGAGGACTTGCTGTAAGAGGGAAGAGGACCGACAAGAGGAAGAGAGCAGCAGCACAGGGCACTGATGCTGCATCGCATTCAAAAAGTGCATGATGAGTTCCCTTTTTTTCGAGAGAAAAGTTTGCCTAATTTCAGCGAACATTTTATTTGTTATCATAAATGTGTGAAAGTGCTGCTCGATTTGCTCTTCCAAAAAGCATGCAAGAGTATTCTCTCAAGATTTCCTCCCTCCTTCACCCTCCCCCCTCTCCTCATTTCTTCCCTTTTCTCCCTTCCGTCGCCCTTCAGAAAGATTATTTCGACGTGAGGCGCTTGCGGTACGACCTGTATAATTTCGACTACGGTCTCATACCTTAACAAACAGTCAGCGTGAAATGGATGCGTGTGGAATAGAAACAAGAACTGATAAAAAGATTATAACTGTTCCCCCGAACAAACTCAAGCAATCGGTCGGTCTGCAGCAGCAGGTAAACAACGGATCTTAGCTGGGAATTCATGTATTTGTGCGCTATTGCAGTAAGCTGTCTTGGAGTTAAAGATCATGTTGAAAAACAGGATCTGCTTTTTCTTCGCAGCAATTTTTTCACTCACCTCTTAGATAATAATTTATAAAATAAAATACAATAACATATAAAAGTGGAAATACTGCACTTCTATCGACGTACTGGGGTACTGCTGAATCTAAGAAAAATCAATCAAGACATAGAATGGGATGTAATATTTCTTTTTAGGACCCGCGATCATGCTGTTTTCAACTTTTATGAGTTTCTGCATCTTATGCAAGTGCAATATAAATGCATATTGGCAAGAAGCTGTATGTGTTCGTAGTAGTTCTGAATTTAAATCACCACAGCAGATAGGCATGCCTGGGACGCGATCACATAGCAATGTCCTGTACTAGTAATGTAATAAAAAACGCATAAAACGGCATAATTGTGCCAGACTGATATACATGCACCGTTTTGTTTTAAAGTTGTCAACAACGAGCTGGATGTATAAAACGTCCATTGTGGCCTTGATCCGCTGTGGATGGCTATCCATCGTCCTTGCGCGGTCTGTTATTGATGTTGACAGACGAAGTAGTTTATTCCTTAATCCTTTATGGGGCTGCCCCTAATAAAGTGTTCTTGTTCCCGCTCCCCATTTTCACAATCGCAGCTATCGTTTTTGTAGCAATTTTTACAAAAAAAAAAGCATTTTTAGGTACTTCTGATTAAAAATGGGACGAACTTAATAACCTAAAAAGGCTGAAAAAACTAAAAAGCGAAGAAAATGAATATAAGAAACGTGCTTCGCCGTTTGAAATAGTTTGTGCTAAAGACAAACCTGAAATTTCTTTGCCCTTAGTGTTTGTTTATAGCTTCATCCTGATTTTTCTGATTTTGTATTAACTTTATGCATTTCACATTTAGCAAAAGCCAAATTCGCCTTCTTGAAGTCCTTGCAAGAGGAACAGCTTAGCGCTTTTGCAATTTTTTGTACCTTATTTTAGATAAAACTTGAAAATAATAAAATGCTGTTGAATAAGCTTGAAAAATAAAATTTTTTTTCTTCTGATTAAAAATGAGATTCTTGAAAGATAAAATTTTTCAAGAATCTTCGTTTTATTCAGTTTTTTTTAAAGGATCTTGATTTTGTTCAATTTTTTAAAAGCACCTTCATTTTTCAATTTTTGTTCAAGGATTTTCAAGTTGTCATTTTATTCACTTCCAATCGCCGTTGTGCCGATAAGTTTTGATCAGCTACGGGGTATGATTAATTTTGTTATTTTTTTAGCTAAATGAATATAATACTCAATAATGTTGCGACTCTTTTCTTAAAAACAAGCATCTAACGTGTTTGAAAAAACAGATACTTTGTCTGTTTCTATCGTCTTGCATATGCTAGTATCTTGGTTTCGTCCAATCGTTACGCCCATAACCACTTGTTCATAATATTCACAATACTCTTTTAAGATACGATCCGGCCAGTAAATGCTTTTCATACGTACCGGCTCGTGCACTCAATGAACATTTCACGGCGCCCCGGAAGCCACAGCGTCAAAAATTTGACGAACCAGCTGTAGCAACATTGAATGTAGAGCCGTCACCATCCGAGATTGCGTCAGTTCCAGTAAAATCCACTGAGTTACAGCGACGACCCGACACACCAAAATGGGAGGACGACATTGATAAGGTTACTATTCAGAAATTTAACTCAGTTTTGTAAAAATCGAAAACTTGTGTAATTTGACAAACTTTGACCCTCTGGATTGCTCTTTATGCGCAACTTTTCACATTATTCTGGGTTGAATGTTAATTCATAAAATTCTAGTTTTTTGGTGATGTGATACCCATCAGATATTTTCCAGTGAGCTTGGCGCTTGGTTGTCGGTTTTCTACTTTCACTTTCTTAAGCATTAATTTCAATTTACTCAAAAAAATCATTATTCCAAAAACTGTTCGTTATTGGCCTCCTTTTGAAAAATTTTAAATAACTTTAGCCTCATATTTTTCTCAATTCATTTTCTGTGCATGTTTTCAAGTACCGAAAAATTTATCCATATGATTGCAAATGATGGAGACATTTAACGTTACACTTTTGAAAGACGCCCTCTTTTACCGTACTTTCTCAGTACGATAAAAGAGGGCGTCTTTCAAAGTAACAAACTATCGAAGTTTAGTTCTTTTGACCGGCAGCAACTCTTGAAAAAATTTTCAACGTCAAAAGTTTAACAGAAAACTTTTTGAAGTTTTGAAAGTGCTTTTTGCGGTGGGCTGTTTTAAGAAAAACAGGATCCCTAGTGAGCACTGATACTGCTTGTCTTGTACAATGAAACCGCATTCCTTCTTCCCACCCATTCTTTCTTTTTTGAGATTTGGATCCGCAGAGCACTTAAAATGTAGGACTTCTAGTAGCAGCCGCCATTGGATGATATTTTCCTATTGTGGTCAATGTCACTGACGCTTGTTGCTCACTTTGTATAATCCAGTGACCAAAAATACCCATTTTCTGCAGTTTCTGTAGTTCTCAGTTTATTGAATTTCTTTGCTTTATCTAAAGCATCACTGTTCATAAGTTCTTGATAACACTGTCCAGCAGAAAAATGCTATCCATATAACAGTTTTTTTTGAAGCGGTTGCCACTTTTTTAAACCTCGAATAATCGATTGGTTTTGCAAGCATGCTAAATAATACGTTGCTAGTCAGAAAATCTGAATTTCCTGTGCAAAAAATTATTCTCCTTAAGGGTGAACTGTAAACGAAAGGTGTGGAAATAGTGAACTTGGAAAAATGGGCAGGAATTTTGTCTGCCTTGCCATGCACTGTAATGGGAGAGGCAGTTATCCTTGACATTTGGTACGCCACTAATCCTCTTATAAGAATGTTGGAAAAAAAGGCTTTATTCTTGCATGAACGCCCTCATCACTCAACTGAACTGCTAATTATGCTGTAAATAAGGCAACTTTCCGTCGGCTGTATTGAAATATAGGGCAACAGTAGTTTAGGGGTCGTCTTATGACAAATTATTGGAAAGGGAATCGGGATTTGCGAATACGAGTTTTCTTCATTTGCTTATTTTGCATCGCTCACCAGAGATATACAATTATTGTTTAGATAAGCAATAGTTATCTGTTTGGTCAAAGAAACGGTATGGCCGAG